CGCAGCCCGGCGCGGGGGCCTCGTAAGACCTACGAGGGGAGGGTCTAGATGTGCGTATCCGCCTGCAACACCCACCCAACGCTAAGGAGCTCGCTCCGAGAGGGAACCTGCGACAATCACCATCGGACCGAGAACCTGAGCCTACCGACACTCCCGCGGGCGGCCCCTGATTGTACGCACCCCCTCTGGCCCACCGCTCACCAGGTCGCACCTGGGTCGGAGTTGTGGTCCTCTGGCGGGGGCTTTCCGGATTTGAGGTCTGACCGAAGGCCGCTCCTAATTATCCGGTGATGTCACCTCCCGCCCCTTCCGCATTTTTCTGGGATTGCAGGGCTGAGTGGGAGGCTAGGATCCAGGTCAGCCTCCTTCGAGAAGCGCTCCACCCAGGGGCCAGGGCTGTGGGCATGCTGTGGGATCGTCCTGCCTGATCCTCAGCCTCTCTACGGCAGCCCCTTACTCAGGGGACCTAGTGAAGAAACAGGCCGAGAGCCCTGAGGTCAGCCCTGCCCGGCCCACTGGGGGCACAGAAAGGGGAGTGAAAGGCAGACGGGTGCCCTGAGGTCATGGGTGACCCTGGTGAGGGGTCACCAAGCTGAACTCTGAGGGACTCATGAACAGCATTAACAAGGCAAAGGCAGGGTGGGGGACTGAAGAGGGCAGAGCAGGAGGCTGGGACCACACTGGACATTAAAGATCCCTAGCCGGGGGTGGTGTTGCACTCCTCAGCACTAAGGAGGCTGAGGCAGGAGGATGGCTCTGAGTTCGAGACCAGCCTGGGCTACACAGTGAGTTCCAGAGCAGTCTGAACTACTAGTAAGACCCTGTCTCAAAATAACAAAAAAAGACAGACTCCTTTTTTCCCACAAGACAGCCCCCAAATACATGGGTGGCAAACCCACTGAGGAGTGGGGTGAGGGTTCATTCAGACTGATGCACAAGAGCCAGGCTCCAAAATGTGTGGTACAGGAGAAGCTCCCAAAGGTCATTGGAGTGGCCACTGAGGAGGAAGCCAGGAGTCCCAACCGGCTCCAAAGACAGGGCGGGGGTGCGGGTACTGCTCCAGAGCAGGGGACCTCTGTCCCTATTTCCTCAGAGGGCTTGGTTGTTTTTGGTACATCTCCTCAGCCCCCTGGGAGTCTCAGGTGCCAGAGGGGGCAGAAGCCAGAATAGGGAAGGGCCTTCCTGGAAACCCCACCACTCCTGTCAGGCTGAACCCCCAGGGACACCCTAAGCACTCAGGCAGTGCCCCTCCCTTATGCTCATTGCACCCAGGGCAGTACAGCCTTCTCTTTGGGGTTCACCTTTGAACTCAGCTGTGCCCAGAAGCATAGGGCTCCCCAGTCCCTGTAGCTCACTGTGCCTGGCACCAAGGCCCTACCAGGACCTTAATTTTTCCCTTCTCCATCTATCAGTCCAAGGCCTCTGGATTTCACTCCTACCCTCCTAACCCCCATCCCTTGGGCAACTACAGCATATTTGAAATGCACTTCAGAGCTGGGGGTGTATTTCTGTGGCAGTGCTAGCACAGCACACAAAAGGCCTTGGGTTTTATCATCACCACACAGAAAAAGCAAAAAGTTATACCTCCCACCTCGGGATCTTCGGTGACCCCAGTATGTTATGTACCTCTTGCAACTCCTCCCAGCTCCAGGGCTCTCCCCATTTTGGGTGTAGAATTCATGCCTCATTAAAGCAGGTTCTGCCCACAGCCAGTCACTGCTAGAGGCTGGGGAGGAACACAGGAAACAGGAGGGATACAACTCTCCTGTCCTCGGCTCCAGATCCTAGGCCAGAGCCTGTTGGGAGAAACATCCTAAAAAGACCCATAATAGAAAGCACTTGGCTCTCTGCTAAGTCACCTCCACAGCTGCAGTGAGCCCCCTCACAAAGTGGGCTAAGTAGGTGCTTCATCTGTGAAACCCCAGCAGCCAACTGTAACCCTGCCTAGGACCAAGCATCTGAGCAGACCCCTGGATACCATCCAAACCTTCCATCTCGTCAACCTCTGCTGCCCGTATTTCTGAACAAAGCTGGCCTGGTGCTCCCTAAAAGCCGCAAGATGCTGCACTGTTCTGGGCCTAAAGGTCCTCTGGGGCCAGGACCTTGCTTAAGGTCCACAGGAAGTGGCCCAGGCAGGTCCTGCTCCTCCCCATTTAGCCACAGCCCCACCTACCTCAGTCTTTACAGAAGCATGAGCACAGGTGCCCTGCAACTGATACAAAGTACTCACAGGCTGCTTATGATACATAAAAAGGCTTTATTTGTAAAGGGGAAGGGGTTTAGTCAAACAGGCCAAATCCCATGTCATCATCAGATTCCTCAGACTCCTCCTTCTTCTCTTCTTTCTTCTCCTCTGCTGTGGGGAGAAGAGGAACATCATGAGTGCTGCCCAGTACCCAGCCAGACTCCACCCTGTCAGTCCGAGTCCAAGGCTCAGTCCCCTGCCCACTCACCAGCCTCCACTCACCTGCAGCAGGGGCAGAACCAGCAGCAGGAGCTGAAGAGCCAGGGGCAACAGAGACAGTCACAGCCCCTCCAGCCGGCACACTGGCAAGCTTACCAATCCCTGCAGAGCAGAGGGGAGGTGGAGGCTGGGGCCCAGGAAAGGATGTTTCACCAGGCACAGCACTGTACTCAACAAACTGGATCATCATTACTGAGCACTGTCACAGGATCCCGTTCGTTCTTCCAGGACGTGAGGGTATTCCCTCCTATACACGGGCAGGAACGCCATGCCCTGACCAACCAAGAGGCTTCTATCCAGAAACTTGGCTTCCACAAGGAAGCCACACAGGCTCCCACCAAGTTGGACAAACATGTTTACAACTGGGCAGGGTGTCTGCTGCGCCAGTGATCAGCTCACTGTCCATAGCAGTGAGCTCATGGACCACAGTTTGTTGAACTGGCCCTCCCTGTCACTTGGGTGGAACAGAAATGCTGCACTAAGAGATCAGTGTCCAAACAAGTCCCACCAGCTCCAGCCTGGTGCCACCAGAAAACCATCTGCCCAGAAAAGGCGTCTAGGAGCCTGGGGCCACCCCTGGCACTTTTTCTTGAGACAGGGTCTCATTATGTAGTCGAGACTAACCTGGAACTATGCAGTCCAGGCTGGTCTCGAATTCACAGCAATCCTCCTGCCTCATCCTCCCCAGTGCTGGGATTACAGGTGTGCACCACCACGCCCGGCCACCCCTGGCACTCTTGATCCCTGCTCCCAATCTATTCACAGACAGCACTCAACTAATTGTTTACAAGAGACCCAAAGCTCCAAAAAGGACAAGGGGATAAAAAGAGCCAGAGCCAGGCCCAAAATGCCTGAGTTGGCAGGTAAAGTAAGAGCACAGGGAAACCTAAAGAACCATTCATGAGAGTGTCCAGAAGCACCTCTAGCGTAAGCCCACAAAAGACTTTGCTCATTCCAGGTCAAGCTTCTAGAGTGCTGTGGTCCACAAGCGAAACCTGGCAGGCCATAGGTTGACCAGCAGGAATTAGAATGGACCATAAAAATTAAACAAGTGAACTCACCCTGGGCAATTACATCTTCAATGTTTTTCCCATTCAGCTCACTGATGACCTGGAGTAGAGAACCACAGACAGCAGTCAGTTACCAAAGGAAAGTGGGTGACCTGTACTGGCCAATCTGGTGAACATCAGCTACACTGGTTCTCTGACTTGGGTTGCTGGGAGCTGAAACTAGTTGCTGAAATTCCAATGTGGCAGTGAGAAAAGGATATATGGTCTTTCATTGCCATGGTGGGTGTACAAACAAGCTAAATAAAGGGTGAAATAAAGGACCACTGAAATTGTCTTGGGCTAGGACTTGCCTAACACATGAGGCCCTGGGTCAGATCCCCAGCAGTACCAAAAAAGGGGATGGAGAATAAAATTGCTTCCAGATTTTTTTTTCTTTTGCAACACTAGGAATTGATTCCTGGTAGCTGAGCTACACCCCTTTTATCATTTTGAAACAAGCTCTCACCAAGTTGCCCAGGCTGGTCTCCAACCTGTGATCCTGCCTCAGCCTCCCATGGTACTAGGATTACAGGCGTGTAGGACACTGCCTGGCTCGCTTTTGGGAATTTTAAGTTATAAGTCAGAATTGCACTAAACATGTCATCAGACTACACTGGCTAGCCGATTGGCGCAGGCCTCTCCCAATCTCTTAGAGGATAAATCCAGGGTCACACTCCGCAGGGGCCGCCCGAATGAGACATTCGGGCCCACAGGTCACATTCCTGGGGGCCGGGGGCCCGAAGCGGCAGCTACCTTATTAAGCCGGTCATCGTCTGCCTCGATGCCCACGCTGTCCAGGATCTTCTTGATGTCCTTGGCGCTGGGGGAGGGGTTGCCTCCGAGAGCGGCCAACAAGTAGGAGGCGACGTAGCGCATACTAAGGCGGGCCAAGAGAAAGCGGCGGCGGCGTGATCTCGGTGGCCTTCTCTCCATACCAGGCGTCCCGGGAGGGGCCACGTGGGGCTCAGTCCCGAGGCCCCCGCCCCAGGAGGCCCCTCAGGGCTCCCGCTCACCCCGCGCCCGCACCCGAAACCTACGGGCCTACTCACTCGGCGGCGGCAGATAGGCCTCACGCGTGCAACCTCTGTGGCGTCGGGAAGCAAAAGGAAGAGCCCGGTTCAGGGGGCGGGGGTAAACCGTTACCCAAAAGCCTCTGGGCGCGTGCGGCGCTGCGCGAGAGCGCCCACGAGTGACGTAACGGAACGCTCAGCCAATGATGACAGGAGAAGGTCCATGGTTTGGTTCCCCCAAGTCTGGAAGTCGCTCAGCAAAAGTGAAAAGCTGCTTCAAATGTATGTTGCTCGTAAAGCGTGGAACTAGTGTCCCCCGAAATCTATGGGGTGGCGGGCTTGTCGACCTGAAGGAGACTGCAACGTCTCTTCAGCGACTAGTTCGCCAGCCTGCTGAGTGGGGCCTACATCTCCCAACATACAACGCGGCCGCCTTGCTCAAGACGCATCCTCGGTGGGCGAACTACAAGTCCCATGGTGCATCGTGACTGGAAGTAAGGGCGGCCGCAGGTGTACGCGAGCCGCAAGTGGACTAGCGTGGAGAAGCACGGTAGGTGTGCTTAGCTGTTTGGCTCCCTGACTCCCAGAGGGGTCCCTGACTCGGCAACTAGAGGCCCAACTTCCTGGAGGGCCGGTGGCGCCATGTCTGGCCGGTGCAAACCCTCCGCGCAGTGACCCATTGACCTGGGCGGCCCAGAGCGTTAGCCCTCCAGGCTGGGCCCAGAGGAGCCGGCGGCATTAGTGGCCTAGGATCGGTTTATTCCCGCACCCCGGAAGTGGCAACACCCGAGTGACCGGCCTCCACCTGGCCCAGTCGATCCAGAACACCTCAGTATTCACATGATATACGCACATATGAAGAACTCCGCTGCATTCAGGGGTATTGAAAGCCAGCGCATGCCTCTGCAGAATTTGCTGTTGTGCAAAGACGTCGAGGCCGTTAAGTGAGAGAATCACAAGCGGTGTGGGCAGTCTATATACGTACACGTATGTGAAGGATGGACACCACGGTTTGTTTGTTTTTTCTCAAGGTCACAGCTGGAGTGGGCTAGGGAGGCCATCCTGACATGAAATAGTTTAATCTGACATGTGAGCTTCTGATTTCTTTACCCCAGTTCTGGGTAGAAAACCAACACCTCGAGCATACTAGGCAGTCCTAGATCTGCATCCCCATCTAAACTGCCCAGCCTGTAACCTAACTCTCACATGGGAACTGAACCCAGGGCCCTCCCATTGAGCTACATTCCCAGCCATTTTGTTTGTTTTTTGAGTCTTGCTAAATTGCCTAGGCTGGCCTCCAACTTGTGATTTTTCTGCTTTAGCTTCCTCATAGCTAGGATTACAGGCAGACCCACACAGCTAGTGATTTTTTTAATGGTAAAATAACGCTTAATAATTTACTGGGGAGGGCCGGGAATTTAGCTCAGCGATTCGTTGGGCTGCCTTGCAAGTGCAACGACCCAAGTTCAATCCCCGGTACCCCCCCAAAATAATAATAATAATAATAATAATAATAATTTACTGGGGTTCTTTAGTTTGAGACAGGTCTTGCTATGTAGTCCAAACTGGCCTTGAACTGTGTAGCCCAGGCTGGCCTCAAACTTGCAGCAGTCCTCCTGCTTCAGCCTCCCAAGTGCTGAGATTACAGGCCTGCATCCCACACCCATCTCTATTTTAAAACCAAACCACTAGGAAAACAATCTTGATACAGCGAACACACTATTCTTTTTTGTTGTATGGGGGAGAGCGTGGGTTTTTTTTGTTGTTGTTGTTTGTTTTGTTATGTTTTGTTTTTGAGACAGGTTCTTGCTATGTAATTCATGTTAGCCTTAAACTCACTGTGTATCCCAGGCTGGCCTTGAACTCAGGGTTATCCTGCCTCAACCTCCTGAGTGCTGAGATTATTGGCATGTGCCACTATGCCCAGTTTATATTTTCATTTCAAGTAATAAGTAAAAGATAGCATGGTCTTCATGTAAAAGATAAGGTACCACATGGGAGGGGGGAATGGGTAACATAAAATTAAGTAAACTGCCTTGCAAGTGCAAGGATCCAAGTTCAATCCCTAGTACCGAAAAAAAAAGTATTAAGTTAAAAAAAAAAGATAAGGGGCTATGCAGGTTTGGGAACATTGCATGTTGCAAATACCCTAGGCAAAAATGGTAGTTGGTGATGGGAGAATTGCCCCACCCCCTTACTCTAAATAAACCACATTTTATCCTAGATCAAGTTGCTTACTTTCTGACCTTTCTGTTGACAGAGGATTATCTCTGTAAGGCTCTGTTAAATTCAGGGGTCTAAGTAAGCAGTGCTGAGTTTGGGTTTTTATTCTTTCTATAGAAAACAGATTTCTTCAAATTTGGTGGTTTACAACTCTTTTACCTGGGCAACAGTGTTTACTTCACTGTTCATTTCGGGATACTGGCATCTATGTTACAATCAGTACCCTATACCGTTCAGGGGAAAAGTGACACTAAGGTTGTCCTGTTACTGCTGCAAAAAGCCTCCAGGTGCATAAGCCAGTGAGGAGCTCTGCTTTCCACATCTCCATATAGTGTGTGTGACACTGACTCCTGTTTTCTTTTCAAAGGGTCTTCAGGTTTAAAGATGCAGAGTAGGAATTTCAAGAAATGCACACCCTTATCTCAGTGGCTAAAAACAAATCTCTATTCACAACCTTTCAGAGTTCTTATCTAAACTATTCTTCCTCTCAACTGCAAATCTTTTTTTTTTTTTTTCTCCCCTTGTGGTGTTTTTGAGACAGTCTCATTATGCAGCACAAACTCACTTTAAACCCACAATTAGCCCAGGCTGCCCTCAAACTCACTGTGATCCCCTTGCTTTAACTTCCTAAGTGCTGGGTCACAGGTGTGTGCCACCACACCTGGCTCAACTTGATGCCCTTACATATAAAAAGTCAAGTAAAATGAAGATCTGGAAACCTTTTTCCCCCCTTCTAAATTAATAATCTCCTAGATTCTATTTAACAAGTTATAGAAAATAGTGTGGTGACACTTGTGGTAAAGAGGAGGTTGACTACAAATAAAGACACATCTGCAACTCCACCAGGTCACAGGCAGGTTGGAGGAACCTGCCAACCAGCCACATGGCATCTGTGTAGTGAGAAGAATCTAATACTTTGGAGAGCATTGGATTCATACAAGGGAGAGCTCTACTGCAGAGATAAGGCCTTACCACATGAAATTTAGGCTCTAAAATATTCTCTTGTGCTATCTTTGACTTAAATATTAGCACCAGTTTTTTTCCATTTGATCTGGCATCCAAACGTAGAGGAAGCAGGGTCCGGGAAAGACTTATTTCCCAATGAATGAGAAAGACTCCATCCTCTTGGTTATAGTTGGAATGAGGCTCATAGGGTCATCCACACAGTCACCCAGCTGCCCAGCTGCCATCTACCCTGGAGTCCTTACTTCTTGGATCCTGCAATCTTTGGCTTTGTCACTGCCATGAATGTGGTTCCTGCATCTCCTGGATGCTCTATCCACACTCTCACCATGGAGGCCACTGCTTCCTGCACTTGGAGCTGCTGCAGCTCTGCCATGGCAACCACACATTGCACCAGTGCCTGCATGGCCTCTCTGCACTTCCTTCTTTCATTTGAAGTAATGTTTTTAAGGTCTATCTGTTTTGTACCACATATCAGAATTTTGTTTCTTTTCTGTACTGAACCCAGGGGCTTCACACTGAGCCACCCACTCACGCCCTTTTAAAGACAGGGTCTCACTGTGTAGTCCAGGCTGGCCTCAAAATCAGTGGCCCTCCTGACTCAGCCTCCTGAGTGCTGGTAGTACAAGAATGTTCCACCACAACTGGCTGTTAGCCCTTTTTTAAGTTTTATATCAACACAGGGTCTCTCTAAGTCACTAAACTGCTTAGACTGTGTCCTTCTGCCTATCTCCCAGAATGCTAGGATTACAGGGGTGTGCCCCTGTTACCCAGAAGTCAGGTCCTGATGCAGTGAGGAACCAGACCCTTGCTTTCTACGATCTTGGTTGTCTCCTTGATGAAAGAATTCAATCAAGACACACAGACGGTGCAGAAGTCTAGGTAGAATTTGCTGTAAAGTGGCTTCGGAAAGAGTTAACACTTCAGGTGGCCATTGCCACAAAGGCATCTGCTCTGCTTTTGAATTTGGAAGTCTGGATGCTGGAGTCCAGGGAACTGGGGTAATTATGATGCTTATCACCACTTTACTTAGAAGTTGCTTAGGAATTCCAGAATACTTTCTTGGCCTTCTTAGATGGTCAGTGTTTCCTCAGGGACTTCAGTCATGTAATGAATTTATGGAAGTTTGAAAAAGATAATTTTTTTTTAATTTTTGGTTTTTTTGAGGCAGGGTCTCCCTTTGTAGTCCAGGCTGTCCTTGAACTTGCAGCAATCCTTCTGCCTCAGCCTCCCAAGTGCTGGGATTACAGGTGTGCAAAACCACACCCAGCAGAGAAAGAGAAGTTCTTAGTTTAAAGGAGGTCCCAGGCCAAGGCAAGAAGGTCTTTAAAGAACATTTCTTTTCCTGATATAATTGAGCTGTAGCTCGAGCAGCAAGGAACGCTGTGTATTTTGCTCTGGAGTTAGTCAGCCAGGTGGCCAGGTATCTGCACTGTGTGTGATCTGAAGACACCTCTGTGCTCTGTGGTCACTTTAGGTCCGAGACCTAACCAATGATTATATATGTATTGTTGGAGTGTTTCTGTAATTAATTACCAGTGCAGGCTATTTTGGATCCCCCTCCCTCCTCAGGCCTGTTAATGTCTATCTACCTACACTACCACATGCTACCTGTGACTGGCTTTTTTTTTTTTTTTTTTTTTGAGAGAGGGCCTCACTATGTAGTTGAGACTGACCTAGAACTCACTATGTAGCCCAGGCTGGTCTTGAACTCACAGCGATCCTCCTGACTCAGCCTCCCAAATGCTAGGATTACAGGCGTGCACCACCATGCCCGGCTTTTTTTTTTTTTGGTACTGGGGATTGAACTCGGGTCCTTTTGCTTGCAAGGCAGGCCACGGAACCGCTGAGCTAAATTCCCGGCCCCTTACTGGTATTTTTTAGGTATGCAACACAGTTACATTCATCATTAGGATCTTGTACCTTTACACTTCAGATCTTAGTTCTCATTTTTTCCCCATACCCCTTCCCCTCCCTTTACCCCCTCTGCCCTCCCCTATTTAGATACTGTGTTTCCATTTTTTCCTTTTCTCATATTTTTTCTTGTCCCTTTTTTCCTTTCCTCTACCCTTCCCACTTCCTAGAGCCTCCTTGTCTTTTTCCTTTCTCTTTCAGGCGGCGGGGGGGCGGCTAGAGGAGGGGATTCAGGGAGGCAGAGTTGGGGAGCGATGCCCATAGAAGGGTCCTCTGAGCCGAGACTGCAGATCTAAGGAGGTCCGGGAGGCTTCACCGAGGAGGCCCTTGGAGCTGGCATCTGGGTGGCGGGTGCTGTGGGACAGAAGTTTCCCCCCTAAGAAACCAAATCCTGCTCTGGTATCACCATCTAGGAGTGCAACCACATAGTCCCAGACGGTCTCACACCCAGAATTTAGGGAGTGTGGGTCCCCCCACCCCCCGCAACGCTGCCCTTACCAGGAGCGGGAAGCGGGAGGGGGGAAGGCTGTGGTCAGGGCCAGGGCGGGACCTGGGTGCAGCTGCGCAGGCTGCCAGAGCAGTGGAAACCCGCGGCGAGGGCGGGCAGGGGGCGGGGAGAGGCGGGCCCTGACTACCCGGAAGCGCGCGGGCGGGAACCGGCGCCCAAAGCGCAGAGCAGGGACGCTGGAGGAGCGGCCCCACGTGCTGTGCTGTGCCCCGGCTCGCGGACGGACCTACGTGTGACGCGAAAGCGGCGGCGGGAGCACCTGCCCCGGCTGCGAAGTGGAGTCCCGTGGCCCTTTCCCCCCCACTGCCCTCCCTGTCACCCTCAGGATAGATGAGGTACTGGGCGTTCCGAAAACTGATGTGTGAAGTCTGAAGGTGGGTTCCCATCCCCAGACCTGGGCTGGGGGATCCGGATGGCTCCATAGGTCTAGGAGTCATTTGGCCAAATTCCAGAATTAAGACAGGAAAGCCCACGCCTGCCCCCCTGCAAACAAGGCTGTCCAGCTGCTACTGTGGCAGGATCTCCTTGTCTTGTCCCCTACCCCGCCATGAGATTCCAGCTCGGCCCTTTAACAGCAGAGTTGCACCCCCCGGAGCTGCAGTGACTACAGGAACTCCCCACGCTGATCAGCCCTGGCCTTGGGCTGGCTCTGGGTCTGATGGCTGGACTGAGGGCTCTGGCCTCCAGCCTCCCTCCGGTACCCCGTGGGAGGAGGGTCCCAGCCCCCACTGCTGCCTATTCTTGCCTGCCTCTGCAGCCGCCCTGGGCCCCGCCTGAGCAGGCTTGCCTGACAAGCTGGGACATGCCTGTCCCTGGAGGACCATCGGTGGGCGATGGCTGCGGTGGTGGAGGGGTTGGAGCTGGAGAAAGCGGGAGCTGCAGAAGACACGGCAGGACTTGCAGTGCAGACTGTGGATGCCAAGCCTGGGCCGCCTCCTGTCTTGGCTGGGAACTGGCTGAACTTGGACCTATACCCTGGGGGCTGCCACCGGCTGTTGCACCTGTGTGCCCAGCAGCCCTCACCGCTGCTGCAGGTGGAGTTCTTGCAGCTGAGCACCCACGAGAACCCTCGGCTGCTAGAGACCACCCTGGCCCAGGTGCCCTGGAGCCAGCTGCACCTCCGCTCTCTGGTCCTCAAAGGTGAGCCCCTTCGTGCCTGGTGTCCTTCTCTTACCTCTGTCTCCCTGAACCTCTGCTTCTTAGTTCTCAAAGGCAACATTGGCCCCACCCTATCTCTGGCCTCTCTTCCAGCTCCCCAGATACGAACCCCTGTCCTGTCCCTGGTCCCCTTGGCTCCTGAACCCTGAAGCTGCCCACTGGGGTGGTGAAGAGTGATGCTGTCAGCGGCCTTTAGCCCTTCTCCTTCCGTCTGCCTCTCAATATCTTTGTCCCTCCGATATCTCTGACCCTCTGGTGGGTGTCTCTGTCCTTCTTCATCTGGCTGGGCTAAGTCTCACCAGTGACTTTGTCTGGCTGCAGGGTACAGCTAAGACCCTGAGTCTGACCACATTCACCTCCCCCACTTCTAGGAGGGCAAAGCCGGGGTGCCCTGGGTGCCTGCCTCCGGGGCACCCTGACCACGTTGCCTACTGCCCTGAGTGGCCTGGCCCACCTGGTCCACCTAGACCTGAGCTTCAATAGTCTGGAGACACTGCCAGCCTGTGTCCCACAGCTTCGTGGCCTGGGCACCCTTCTGTTGTCTTACAACCACCTGTCGGAGCTGCCAGAGGCCTTGGGGGCCCTGCCCACCCTCACCTTCCTTGCTGTGACACACAACCTCCTGCAGAGGCTGCCCACAGCACTGGGGGCCCTGGCTACCCTGCAGCGCCTTGACCTCTCCGAGAACCTCCTAGACACTCTGCCCCCTGAGATTGGAGGTCTGAGCAACCTGAGTGAGCTCAATCTGGCCTCCAACCGGCTTCGGAGCCTCCCAGCTTCCCTTGGTGAGTAGCAGTCATGGCCTGGGCCTACACCTCCACCTAGGCCCCTGCACTATGGCTTCACCACGCATAAGCCTTCCCCCTTTGCTGCCTGCCTCCTTGCTGCCCTCTGCCTCCTTGGGCTGTGGGGACCCCTGTGCAGCTTGGTGGTTCCTTGGAGGCCCTGTGTGGTCTTCATTGACCCTAAGCCTGTGCTTGCCTGCAGTGGGATTGCAATCCCTGCAGCTCCTTGTTCTGCACAGCAACCTCCTGACCTCAGTGCCTGCTGGCTTGGCCCACCTCCCCTTGCTCACACGGCTGGATCTGAGAGACAACCAGCTCCGGAACCTGCCCCCTGAGCTACTGGACGCCCCTTGTGTATGCCTACAGGGGAACCCCCTGGGTGAAGCCTCACCAGACTTCTCAACCCGCTCAGGTAGGCTTGGTGTGGGGAGAGCTAGGCCAAGCCGCAGAGCGGATATGGGCACCATCCGCATCCTAAGGGCTGGCCTGTCTCCTGTACAGGGACACCCCAGGATCTGGAGATGCCCACTCTGTTCCTGACTTCAGATGTGAATAGGTACGGGGTGGGAAAGAGACAGCCCCCCTGTTTCCTGGCCACACTGGATATCTTCCCCATGCTTCAAGAGTCTCCTGGCTCCAGCAGATAGACCTCCTGTGTCTGACCTCACCAACCCTTTCCTCACAGCTTCCCTGTAACCCCACAAGGCTGCTCTGTGACTCTAGCCTGCGGTGTCCGCCTGCAGTTCCCAGCTGGGGCCACTGCGGTCCCTGTCACCATCCACTATCGACTGTGGCTGCCGGAGCCAAGCCTCGTCTCCCTGGGTCCTCATGATTCTCTGCTCAGTGGTGTCCTGGAGCTGTGGCCACATGGCGTGGCCTTCCAGCAGGCATGGCCAGTGTGGGGCAGGGGGAGGGAGCAGAGGCCCCAGGCTGGCCCCCAGCCCTCACACCACTGTCATCTGGCAGGATGTGAGCCTGTGGCTGCTTTTTGTCCCACCACGGGCCCGTCGTTGCCATGAGGTGGTGGTCAGGACTCGGAGTGAGGACAGCTGGAGGGACCTGGAGACTCACCTGGAGGAAGAGGCCCCAAAGGTGAGGGCTACCTGGGCCTGTGGAGAGAGGGGCAGAGAGCAGCCCCTAGACCCCATCTACTCGGGCCATGAACTTTGCCTTGACTCTGCTTCCCTCCGCCCCTGTCCCCCAATGCCACCCAGCGGCTCTGGGCTCACTGCCAGGTACCTCACTTCTCCTGGTTCCTTGTGGTTTTACGCCCTGTGTCCAATACCTGCATTGTACCACCAGAGGGGACGCTGTTGTGCTCCTCGGGTCATCCGGAAGTCAAGGTCATCTTCCCTCCAGGGGCCACTGAGGAGCCTCGTCATGTCTCCATGCAGGTGCAGCGGGGGCGGTGCCCAGGGTAGCAGATGGCCCTGCACACAGGGGGTACTCAGGGCCCTGTCCTTTGTCCAGGTGGTACGCATGGCTGGCCGGGAGCTACGAGCCCTCCTGGGGGAGCCTGAGGCTTCTGTGAGCCCCTTGCTGTGCCTCACACAGCACAGCCCTGCTGGCTTCCTCTGCCCAGTCACCGTGCAGCTGCCCCTACCCCCTGGTGTCACAGGTGAGAGGCTGCCATCCTGCATCTAGGGACCTGTGGCCATGAGTAGAGAGGATGATGCTCGAAAGGGGAACCTCAGCCAGGGGCTCAGCCTGCTCCCCTTCCTGTCCAGGCTTCAGTCTAGACCGCTCCCGCCTGCACCTGCTGTACCGGGCCCCTCCTGCAGCCACCTGGGATGACATCACAGCCCAGGTGGCCCTGGAGCTCACTCACCTATATGCACGCTTCCAGGTCACACATTTCTCCTGGTCAGTACCCCTCTTACCTACCTCCGCAGTGTCACCCTCTTGCCTGTCCAGCTACATCTCACCCTGCCATCCCAGGTACTGGTTGTGGTACACCACCAAGACCTGTGTGGAGGGCCTGGCGCGCAAGGCTTGGGAGCGGCTGCGGCTTCACCAGGTCAACCTCATTGCTCTGCAGCGCCGCCGGGACCCTGAGCAGGTGCTGCTGCAGTGCCTGCCCCGGAACAAGGTGGGGCCTGGGAAACCGGAGGGTGTGACCCAAAGGCCAGAGGTACAGGGCTCTGGCTCCAAGCTGTGTGGTGTCTTGCAGGTTGATGCCACCCTGAGGCGACTGCTGGAGCGCTACCGTGGCCCTGAGCCCTCTGACACTGTGGAGATGTTCGAGGGAGAGAAGTTCTTTGCTGCCTTTGAGCGGGGCATTGAAGTGGATGCTGGTAGGCTCCCCTGTCCCAAGGGCCTGGGTCTACCCCTTCTACAGTCCCTGCTGAGCTGTCCTCTACCCCCAGATCGCCCAGACTGTGTGGAAGGCCGGATCTGCTTTGTCTTCTACTCACACTTGAAAAATATGAAGGAAGTCTACATTACCACCGCCCTGGACCGGGAGACTCAGGCTGTTCGAGGCCAGGTGGATACTGAGGTGGGGCCCCCCCCGGCTGCCTGGGGAGAGACTAGAGCCCTGAAACCCTATCCTCCTCAGGTGTCCTTCTACCGTGGCTCAGTGCCCAGAGAGGTGCCTCAGGAGGCCGAGGCTGCACGGCAGAAGAAGGGTGCAGATGCCCTGTGGATGGCCACCCTGCCCATCAAGCTGCCGGTGTGACAAGCTGCAGGAGGAGAGGGAGAAAACCCTGGGGATGAGCAGAGACTGGAGGGTGACGTCAGGCTAATTGGATTCCTTTCTCCGCACAGAGGTTCCGGACGTCTGCAGGGCACAGGCAGGGGCCTGGCCTCTCCCTGGTGCCCCTGAACCTGGGTGATGCTGAGACCGGCTTTCTGACTCAGAGCAACCTGCTGAGTGTGGCAGGGCGGCTGGGTCCTGACTGGCCAGCTGTGGCCCTGCACCTGGGCTTGCCATATCACGAGCTGGAGCGCATCCGGCACAAGTTCCGGTGAGCCTCCCTCCTCCTGCCTTGGCCTTGGGCCTGCTTGTCCCTCAGGGGGGTGGTGCTTGTCCTTCCCAGGAGGTGGGAGCTGGGCCAGCACCAGGCTGGAGAGGAGGGGTCTGGCCCCAGCAGCCCAACGAGTGGGGAGCAAGCCCCAGGGTGGTGCATAGTGCTGGGCAGTACTCCTCTTACCACCCCTCTCTTCCTCCAAGGGATGACCTGGACGGGCAGATTCGCCACATGCTCTTCTCCTGGGCGGAGCACCAGGCTGGACAGCTGGGGGCAGTAGGGCGCCTGGTGCAGGCCCTGGAGAAGAGTGACCGGCGGGATGTAGCTGATGAGGTGCGGGCAGTCTTGGAGCTTGGCCGCCACAAGTACCAGGACAGCATTCGTCGCACAGGCTTGGCACTCAAGGACCCCACCCTGCCAGGCACTTCCTCTTAGCAGCCCCTAGAGCCTGAGCCAGCCTAGTCCACAGGCTCGGAGCTGGCCTTCACTGTACCCAGCCCTGATTGTGCCCTGATAGCACCCCTTGTGCAACAAGCTGCAATGTGCCCTTTGCCATCTCAGAGCTTGATTGATTTGTCAGTGGAGAAGCAATTGGAGGGAGGGCTGGCCTGGTGATGCAGGCCCAGCCCTGTGCTCCAGCCCTTTCCTCCACCAGCCTCCTGGTCTTGTCTTCCCAGGGGTGGGAGGGTCAGCTGAACTCTACAAAGTGAAGGCTGGAGGAGGGTTTGGTTTTCGTGCCTGTAATCTCAGCCCTTGTGAGACAGGCAGAAGGATCACCTTGAATCTGAGGCCCATATGGGCTATAGAGTGAGTTCGAGGCCAGCCTGAACTCAAGACCCTTCCACAAAAACAAAAGTGAAGAGTGAGGCAGCTGGGCATACGTACCCTGGGTGGTAGGACTGCCTCAGCCTGCCCACCAGCGCGGGGCCAGAGCAGCCCAGGTCCCCCTCTGTCCAGAGACCAGGGAGGCCCCTATGAGCGGACCACCCCTGAGCGGCCAGCAGGGGGAGCCGAAGCTTGCGCCGGGCTAGGCGGGCGGGGCCGGGCGCACATAGGAGGAGAGGAGCGCGGTGGCGGTGGAGTCGTGAGTGTGGTGGGCTGA